AATGAATCTTTATGCAAGGACTTTTCTAAAGTAATACAAGATCAATTTGAGATGAGTATGATGAGAGAGCTCACCTTTTTCTCGTCCCCTAAGTTAAACAATTCAATGATGACATCTTCGTATCACAAAGAAAATATGCTAGGGAGTTGGTAAAAAAATTCGGGATGGAAAGTTCAAAACATGCCCCAACTCCAATGAGCACCAACATCAAGTTGGATGCGAATGAAAGCGGTGAAAATGTAGATCAAAAGTTATATCGAGGTATGATAGGTAGTCTTCTTTATCTCATCGCTAGTAGGCCGGACATCATGTTTAGTGTTTGTGCATGTGCACGTTTTCAAGCTTCTCTTAAAAAATCTCATTTGGTTACAGTTAAAAGAATTATTAAATACATTAATGGCACCTTAGAACTTAGTTTGTTTTATCCTAAAAATACATCTTTTAATCTTTGTGGCTATTGTGATACTGACTTTGCCGGTTGTACGGTAGACCGCAAAAGTACGAGTGGTGTTTATCAATTTTTGGATAACTCACTTGTATCTTAGGCATCTAAAAAACAAAATTGTGTTGCTTTGTCTACTACGAAAGTGGAATACATTACCACCGGCTTATATTGTGCACAACTTTTATGGATGAAACAAAATTTGGTTGATTTTGATTTACACTTTCATGATATAAAACTTTTTTGTGATAATACTAGTGCTATCAATATCTCAAAAAACTCAGTTTTGCATTCTAGAACCAAACATATAGATGTAAGGCATCACTTCTTATGTGATCATGTTGAACGGAAAGATATTTCCCTTGTTTATTTTGACACCAAATCACAATTAGCGGATATCTTTACCAAACCCCTTTGTGAAGTTGATTTTTGTCGTATTAGAAATGAATTAGGCATGTGCATCCTTTAAAAAAAATATCTTTTGTCTATTTTGTTTTTATTCTTTGCTCTACTATTGTCATATTTTTTTTTCTTGATCCTACAATGTCAAGCCATGCTTATTCACACATGGGTACTAAGAGGAGTGTAGAGGTGAGAGACTAGTGTCATGCCAATAGCAGTGGGGTAGGTGGTAATGCTTAGAGGTAGGTCGTAATTCCTAACACTTGAGGCAGACACGGGTAGGCCAACACTTGAGGTGCATTTGTTTGGGGTTTTTTAGCGTGCATATTGTCCTTATTCTACCCTATTTTTTATGGTGACAAAAGGGGAGAGAAATCTCCTCATTTGTGCACATTGTAAGGTGGAGCCTTATAGATAGCGGGAGCAACTATCTATAAGCCAAATAATCTATTTTTACTTTCTCTTGCATAATGATTGTTTGTCATCATCAAATAGGGGGAGATTGTTAGATCCTTTGTTTTGATGATGATTTACAAATACCATTATTGGTGTTAATTGTTTATTGAGCTATATTGTAGATCACATATCACTAGCACCTTATATGGAGGATTGGATGGAAAATGAGCTATACCAACAATATCCAAGGAGGTGGAGGCAAAGTGATGAAGCAATGCTTTCAAGAGTACCATATGCATAAGAAGCTTCATTTACTCAAGAGCAAATATCAAGACTCAAGTCATGTATTTCTATATGAGGGATATTTGCTATTTTATTTTTATCTCTAGTACTTAATGTAGGCAAGTAGTTTGTTGATTACATTTGAAGCTCATGGGATATCATACTTGCACACTTTCAAAACTTGTATTTTGGTACTTTTACTAAAATAATGATTTTCACACATACGAGGACTTTTTTGTAAAATTCCTTTTCAAACAAGTTTATCAAAATGTTTATAAACTATTCCCAAAGTTTTATACTTTTTGGAGTTTATTTACTATTTTTAACAGTGCCTTAAAACTCAATTTCAAAATCAATTCAGGCTGATAACCTGTTATCAGTCGACTGACCAGTCGACTGATGACATCAGTCGACTGACCAGTCGACTGATGACATCAGTCGACTGATGTGTTGACTGATGAAACTACCTGCAATCATCAAAAGTTTTTGTTCTATTTTGATCGACTGACCAGTCGACTGATGAGTTGTCAGTCGACTGAAAATGATCATCAGTCAACTGATGAGCTGGTATTTGAATACAACGTTCATCTCATCAGTCGACTGATGATTCCCGTCAGTCGATTGATAAGCAGTCTAATAGCTAGTTTTTCTCAGAATCTGTTTCTCGGTTTTTGGGGGATTTCCACTGGTTCTTTGGGGTTTTGGATGTTGTCTTCTCTTCCTATAAATACCCAACAACCCCAACTACTATAGTAACCAATCTTTCATTACAAATCTCTTGTGTTTGAGTTTATTATTTTCAAAGAGCTTCAACTTTCATTTGCTTTCACTATTTCAAAGCATGCATCCCAAGCTTCAATTGCAATCTTATCTCTTGCCATAGGGCTACTGTAAAGAGAGAGTTTCTCTTCAATTTTCTACTATTGTGAGCTTGATCTCATGGAGATCTATTGTGTGGTTGTGAGATCTCGGTGGAGATCATTGTGTAGAAGAAGTTCCGGCTTCCAAACCGGGTATGTAGTGAATTTCTCCTCGAGAGTGGGGAGCGGGGACGTAGGTCAGCGGACCAAACCTCGTGAACATACTGCGTGTTATCAATTGGCTAACTATCTCTATCCCTACTCTCTTCTATTGTCATTGCATTTTATATTTGTGTATGCTTTGTTGGAATATCTTTTAATTGCATATTATTTGTCCATAAACCCTATTCACTCCCCTCTAGGGCCTTTCAATTGGTATCAGAGCAAAGTCTCTACTGTCGTTAGGCTTAAACCCCTTAGAGAAAAGATCATTATGGAGGCTTCTATGAATATGCATATGCTAGAAGGACAATCTACCACTAGGCCACCCATTTTCACCGATAGCAACTTTTCCTATTGGAAAGCTAGGATGAGAATTTATTTACAATGCATTGACCTTGATATCCTAGACATTGTGGAGAAAAAAAATATGTCAAGAAGTTTAGTAGTGAAATGACCGAGGATGAGAGAAAACTAGCTAACCTTAACATTAAGGCCATGAATGCACTAATTTGTGGTCTTACCCCTAATAAATATAAGAGAGTTTCTACATGTGCATCTGCACATTAAATTTGGGAGAAGTTATGCATTACCTATGAGGGAATAGGGGGGCAAACGGGTCGACCCGACCCGAACCGACCCATATAAAATTTGACCCGACCCGTATAAGTGTGACCCGACCTGGCCCATTTAATAAATGGGTCAATGCGATCCAACCCGTTTATTAAACGGGTTACTTGACCCGACTAATATAACCCAAATGGTAGAGAATACTAAACATTTAAGTGAAATTATTTCAAACAATGGCATTCTCCTTTGCTTCTTGAATATTAAACGGGTTACTCTTTTAAGTGATTTTCTCCACCAAATACGAAAACTGAAATAGAGCAAGACAAACAGAGAATACAAACAATGGCATTTCCTTTCTCCTTTGCTTCTTGAATATTAAATTGATAATAAAATCCAGAAAAAGTAGATGTTAACACAGAATAAAACACCAAATTTTCCAGGTCTGAAAACTAAATATGCATTCAGGACAACACCAACTTTTCTCCAGTTGGTTAATGCAAGGACTTGGGCTTAAATTCTGCGCACAACTCAATTAAAATTGCTAAAATAAGACTAGCTCCAGCAACCCTTTAAGTAGACAATAATTATCTGTATAAAAGAGATTAAAATGTCATTCTACATACATACGCTTCAAAAAAATTGGAGCAAGATTACTCCCATTAGAATGTTAAACAGGTTCACAAACAGGTACATTTCAAGCTCTCTGCAACAAATCCAATTTCACAAACAGGTTCATTTCAAGTGCTCTGCATATTCTATTGCTTTCTTCTTGACGTGTTTAATTCTTTCTTCATCACCCTGTGACTTTTCATAGCTGAGATACTTCGTGAATAAGAACTACAAATTATTCGAAAATAGTTTGATAAAGAGGGAAACAACACAAGAAAGTAACATTGAATGCTGAGAATATCAGAACTTGGTATAATTTCAGTATTCCTAGAGTATTCTACCAAAAAGGTAAACTATTGATTACATACCTCAATTTTCTTGGAGGACAACCCTTAAACTTTATAGATTTGATTATTCCCGTGTCGGCATAGATTACCCAATATCTAATTGCATGATATCCTCGGAAAGCTCATCTAATTTTGGTTGCATGTCATCTATCATTAATAAAAAAAATAAAAAACCAATAAGCAAATTCATAACATGTATTCTGATGCAAAGAACGTAAAAAATATAACATTAGTAATTGTCTACCTTTGATACCATATAACCAATCACGCGTGCAAACTAAAGCCTGCACATTTTTAGGCTTAAGAGTGCTACGGTATTGGTTAAGGATTCTTAAATATAAACAACATGAGAGAATAAACATATGCACGTAATAAAAGATGAACCAAGATTATTGATCAACTTAGTAGAATACTTAAAACAACTTAGTAGAATACTTAAAAACAAGATTCAGTAGTATGCTTTAGCTCAAATATGGATTAAGAAAAATGAAATATGGCCACTATAGCATATAGCAAGTATGACAAGCAATTAGAGATGAATGACCAGAATAATACCTCAATGACCAAAATAAGAGAGGTTGAGAGGTGTTTCTCTTGCAGGAACCAGGTTCTCTACCAATCTGTAGTATCATTATGTCATTAATTTTCATATTCTTACAGGACTAATTGCAGATAGACCCCTGACTGCAATCGAAGTACAGGCAATTTGGCAGTAGTACAGAGGGTCTATCTACAATTTGGTGCTAGTACAGGGGGTCTATCTACAATTGACCCTATTTTTTTGAGCCGAGTCATCTATTATGTTCTATTACATGGTAAACTAGTTCGCAACATTGACAAAATTATTGATCTCAACTCAGGGACTCAATCTCAGGTTCAGTGATTTTTGACCCAAGCAATAGTGTTTCTGTAGATAGGGAAGATTAACGCTACATGTGGAAGAGGGGACCATTAACTCTACAATCTAAAGAGCATGATATACGTTACAATGTGGAAGTTGCAAGAAACATACAAGATATAAATACATGCAAAAATAATAAAAACTAAGAGATATACTAATACTTGAGAAAGAAATTACCCTTAAGATATCAATGCAATCTTGATCAAGTGTGTCATCATTATAGAATCTTACAGAGAGGATCCCTAAAAAATTAAATCGTGCAGATAAAGAACATTTTAGTACCTGGTGTTTTGCTGATCCTCATGGTAGTTGGCATGCCTGCAAGCTTGGTATAGAGAATTGTTCTTCATCTCAGCTTGAAATGATGCAAGGTGCCTTAAGTTACTACAACTGAATTACTCAGGTTTTGACATATAGCTTCTATAACCGATTCGTGATGAAAATTATTCTACCATTGTAGGATTTAGAAATGAGTTTCTAGCTGCACTTCCAGAAGTTGGAAACTCAACATCAAGAGGCTTGTTCATAAATTCGTGTTATATCCATTGTCAAACAGAGAGGCAGGAAACCTGGTTTAGAGCTGATTCTCCTGTACTCGAAAATACTGTAAGCTCTAAAATTGAGCTCTAGTTAGTTTTTTATTGGGTTAATTGCAGTTAGACCCTTGTACTATCACCCAACTGGGGATAGACCCTGTAGTTTTATTGTTCCAGATAGACCCCCGAGTGAAATTTTTGACTCTTCTACTCTCAGGAGGTCTATTTGCTAGGAAGAAATTCCCTTTTTACAGGGATTCTATCTGCAGTTAACCCTTTTTTATCTCAATATCCGTATCAACTTCAAATTCTATATTTTGCAGCCAATTGCAAAGGTAGTAGGCAACTGGTTTTACGATAGAAGTCCTTTTCAGAAGATCGACTGTCCATATCCTTGCGATACTTCGTGTCAACATATACCTGAACCAAAATCAGAAGGATAGCAATTACAGAATCCACATGTACTGATTTCATTATTCATCATGTTATACTTGTTGCATTGATCAAGCTCGTGACTAAGAGCTCCCTAAACTTATCCGGGTCAAAATTAAATCTTGAGGAACTCATTATAGAATCTTTTGAGTTAGATAGACCCTCAATATCTTCTCTAGTAGCTTTCTTACAAATTTTTATGTATCTTAACATGTTCTTTGTCCCATGGTTACCTTCGGCAATATATTTGAATCACACATATATACTTATCTAATGAATAAATATAGTTTTCCCTCAACTCAGCCATTAATCATGTCAAATTTTCTTAACTAACTAAAAAATTAGTACCTTGTGCTTGTTTTGTAGGCTATTTCTAAAAATTAAAAATACGAAAAGAACAATATATGGTACGAAAAGAATCACTAGATCATAGACTCCCCAAAATTAAAAATACGAAAAGAACAATATATGGTACGAAAAGAATCACTAGATCATAGACTCCCCAAAATTCAACAGATCACAAATTGGGCAATAAATGAGCATGAATGAAACCTTAGAAAGAGGAATAGATTATCTATGATCAAATTAATTTACATGAAAGCCAATGATCAACTCTAGAAACGGAACATTTGAGCTTGAATCAAATTAATTTAAAGAAACTTGAGCAAAATGAAAGAAACCTAATTTTGATGAAGCTTAGAGAGAGAAAGAGAGAACTTACAGAGAGGATCGAGCTCGTTGTTTGTCGTCGCTCGTCGTCACTCGTCGTCACTTTTGATGAAACGGCACCGCTCGCCGTCACTCGTCGTCACTCGTTCCTCGCTGCCGCTCGCCGCTCACTGTTGCACGCTCCTCGCTGCCGCACGCTCCTCGTTGTCGCTCATCGCTCATCGCTACACGCTCCTTGCTACTGCTTGCCGCTCACCGCTGCACACAGATGGAAAATCTAGGGTTTCATTTATGAGAGACGAAGAGAGGATGGGTTGCTAGATAAAGGAATGTGATTGCCCGAATTTTCAATCGCGATGTTATGCACTTATACGGGTGAGATCTTTGTGTTACACGGGTCAGGCGAGTCAACCCTAACTTATCCATCTAATAAACGGGCCAGTTCGGGTTGACTCATTTATGACCCGACCCATATAACTTGACCCATACTCAATATAAACAGGTCGGGTCGGGTCGGGTCGGGTTGATGGGTCAGGTCAAAAACTACCACCCCTATGAGGGAACACCCCAAGTAAAGGAGTCTAAAATTAGTGGACTCGTGCATGATTATGAATTATTTAAAATGCTTCCAAGTGAATTTATTGATTCTATGTTTTCTCGGTTCAATAATATTATAAATGAATTACAAGGTCTTGGAGAATCAAGAGATGTGCTACAAAATTCTTTGCTCTTTGACGCCAACTTGGGAACCTAAAGCTATGGCCATTGAAGAAGCACATGATCTATCTACTCTCACTCTTGATGGACTTATCGGCAAGCTTAAGGTCCATGAGAAGAAGGTTAAGCAGAAAGAAGAAACACCCTCAAAGGCAACCGAGGAGCCATCCCAAAAATTAAAGTCCATAGCTCTCAAGGGAGCAATTGACGATTCATCCTCCTGGGATAGTGAAGATGATGTCTCTAGAGAAGTAACACACCTCTCTAGAAGAATATCAAAATTAATCAAAATGAATAAAAATTTTAAGAATCGATTTAATAACAAATTTCCTTCTCGTATAGGTAAATGCTTTGAATGCAACGAACCGGGACACTTAGCTAAGCATTGTCCCAAGCTCAAGGAGAAGTATTTGAAATACAAGAAGAAGAAGGCTATGTATGCCAGTTGGGATGAGTCCGAAGCAAGTGATTCGGATAGTGATGATGAGGGCGTCAAGATTGCTCTTCATAACCGGAACATTTACTTCATGGCTCATGAAGATGAGGTACAATCTCAATCGGCGAAGCCTCAAACCCATTGAAGTCGCTACGAATAGAGCTCCCCGAAAGGGGAATCTCTACTCGTAGCTTCACTGGAATTCTCCTAAATAGAGAGACCGAACCAGGCGACAAAAAGGCTGAAGGAAGTTCTCTTTCCATTCCAACAAAACCTCCTAAATAGAGAGACCGAACCAGGCGACAAAAAGGCTGAAGGAAGTTCTCTTTCCATTCCAACAAAACTAATAGAAGCAGGGAGAGGACAAAACCGACAAAAAGGCTGAAGGAAGTTCTCTTTCCATTCCAACAAAACTAATAGAAGCAGGGAGAGGACAAAATAGAGACAGAGGAACCAAGAAACTATGTCCAAACCAGACTCAGAGAACTCTTCAAAGCGGAATCCAATCTTCCTTCACATGCTCTTTTTATTCCCTTAGCTGCTTGGTGGTTTGCTCATCTATTTTGGCCAAGAGCTGCTTCCTGTTTGCTACTTGATTTGCTGGATCCGTTGATGGGATTTCCATTGATATAAAAATGTTGAAAAGTGACCCATTTCTAACCATCTTGTTCTAGCATTGTTGACCCATTACTTAAGTGCTATATCGGATAAGCCTTTCTATTCTAGTCAGAGGCTAAACTTCAGCTGTCACCTTCTCATCTTGGATTGGATCCGAAATCGAAAGTGAATCTCTTTATATACAATGTGAACTAGAAGCGGCTTTAGAAGAATTAAACTTTGAATTTAAAAAATTAGCAAAAGAATATTCTTCATTCAAAAAATTACATGTTTCTTGTGATTCTATGTATGAGCAACTACAATCTTCTCTTGCTTTAAAAGATGAAATGATAGGAGATCTAGACTTTAAAAACAAACAACTAAGTTCCAAAGTTGAGAGATTAGAGATTGAAAACAATAGAATTAAATCTAATCATGCTTACTCTAGTCATTATCATGTTAATAGAAAATGGTATCAATCTCATGCTCCTGCATTCAAGAAAAGGTTTTTGTGCACATATTGTATGAAGTATGGTCATATTTCTGCTCATTGTAGGATTAAGAATAACATTAATCATTATGAGTTAATATGGGTACCCAAGGGTACCAAAAATACTAACACTCAAGGACCCAAAGCTTGGGCACCTAAAGGTTCTACAACTTGTTTGCATGTAGGGAACGTCTCGCACAAGATGTAAGGAGTTTGGTACCTTGATAGTGGTTGCTCTCATCACATGACGGGCAATAAAGAATTATTTACAACCCTATCAAAGATTGAAAGAGGCAATGTCTCCTTTGGTGGTGGTGAGAAAGGTAAAATTATAGGTATTGACAATATTGGTAAGGTACCTTCTCCCATAATTGAGGATGTTTATTTTGTTAAAGGACTAAATCACAATATCTTTAGCATTAGTCAATTACGTGACAAAAGCTTTGATATTTCTTTTAAACTGGATAAATGTATTGTTAGCATGAATAATAAAATTGTTTTTGTTACTTTTAGAAGATCTAATGTTTATATTTTTGAGATGAATAAGCTAATAGATCAAGATGTTAAGTGCATTGCCGCGGTGGATGGAGATCCTTGGATTTAGCACAAGAGACTTGGACATGTTAATATGAAGCTTATGTCTAAGCTATCCAAGAAGAATTTAGTAAGAGGGTTACCAAATCTATTTTATATTAAGGATTCTACTTGTGAGGAATGCATCAAGGGTAAACAAATAAAAACTTCCTTCAAATCCATAAATGAGGTATCCACTTCTAAACCTTTACAATTATTGCATCTTGATCTCTTTGAACCCATGCGTGTTGCCTCTCTAGGAGGCAAACACTATGTTTTTGTTATTGTTGATGATTTTTCTTGTTTTACATGGGTAATTTTTCTTGATAATAAAGATGAATATTTTGAAGAGTTTTCTCATTTTGTAAAAAAATTGAAAATAAAAAAGATTTAAAAGTTGTTAAAATTAGAAGTGATTATGGTGGAGAATTTCAAAACAAATTCTTTAATGATTTTTATGTTCATCATAGTATAACACATGTGTTTTCCGCTCCTAGAATACCTTAACAAAATGGTGTTGTTGAACAGAAAAATAGATCCATACAAGAGATGACACACACAATGATAAACTCTTATGATTTGCCAAAATAGTTTTGGGGGAAGTCGTTAATACAACTTGCTACGTTTTAAATCGTGTTTTGATTAGACATTCTTTTAAGAAAACTCCTTATGAACTCTTTTTTGGCAAAACTCCACATATTGGATACTTTCGTATCTTTGGTTGTAAATGCTTTATTTTAAATACTAAAGACCACCATGATAAATTTGATTCAAAAATTGATATTGGGATATTTTTGGGATATTCTCCTAGAAGCAAGGCTTATAGAGTTTTCAACAAGCGAATACTCGTTGTTGAAGAGTCTATAAACATTACTTTTGATGAATCTAATATTGGTTTGCAAGAAAATTTTCCTAGGGATGATGATGAGTTTGAGGAAGGAATGGAGCTCTTACAACTAAATGATAAATCCTCAACAAACGCACCAATTGATGGGAAGAATATAAATGAACAAACTCAAGAAAAACTCCCAAAGGCTTGGAAGTTTTCACCAGATCACCCTAAAGACCAAATTATAGGGAGTCCATCCAAAGGCCTTTTTACTCACTCAAAAGCAATGAGCGAATGTGGTAATATAGCCTTTTTATCCCAAATAGAACCTAAACGTATTGATGATGCTTTAAAAGAAGAGTTTTAGATTTTAGCTATGCGTGAAGAGTTGAATAACTTTCAAAGAAATAATATTTGAAAATTAGTTCCTAGACTAAATAATACTTCTATTATTGGAAATAAATGAGTTTTTATAAATAAGCTTGATGAGTTTGGCATGCCCAAGGATACAATCAAGTGGATGATATTATTTTTGGTGCCACTAATGAATCTTTATGCAATGACTTTTCTAAAGTAATACAAGATCAATTTGAGATAAGTATGATGGGAGAGCTCACCTTTTTTCCCGGCCCCTAAGTTAAACAATCCAATGATGGCATCTTCGTATCACAAAGCAAATATGCTAGGGAGTTGGTAAAAA